TAGGATCTGCTCTCTTTATCATTTTTAAAACGTTTTCTGTTTTCGATTTTCCAAAACATTAAAAACGCGTTCTCTTTCCTATTTTCGAAAACGCATTTTTGAAAACAAATTTTAAATTTTAAAAAAAAAACCAAAAATGATAAATTTTCCGTTTTGGCCCTTTTGGGTATTTTCAGTTATACTCAAGCCAAAATTTTCAAAAAAACAACTTTTCAAAATGCCAAAAAGAACACATTTTCAACAATTTCAAAATGAACACTTAAAACACAAAACTCAAAATGACTTCAAAACTCAAAACACATGACTGAAATATAAAGAGAACATCCCCTTAATATTTTCAAGGTTGATTACCACACAAATGTTTGACTAATAAACATGCTATTCTTCTTTCTCAGTATGCGTGACAATTCAGAAAGAACTTGGAAAAAAAAAACTAGAAAAGTTGAACTCCAAAATTTAGTAGAACAATTCATTAAACATCACTAAGGTCCCGTTTAATTGCCACATTTTTCATGAAAAATGTCACATCCAAGAAAAACGAATTTCACTTTGAACGTTTGATTGCAACGTGGAAATGAAAACCGAATTCCAAAGTATAACCACTTTAAACTTCATTTTCTTTATTTTCATGAAAAACGAATTCATATGAGTTTGATAGTTTTTATTTTTCAATTAACATAGAATTAGAATACATTTCCACCTTTGTCCATTAAACGGACCCTACATCACAACAAACTCACAAAAAAAAAAAATATATGAAAAGTTCACCTTCACAACCCAAAAGCATTCTTCTGTAATTGCAATTTCAAGACCTATTGTTTGTGTGCATTCCTGAATCATAACAGATCAGATATTATCTCCATAAATCTATGAAATTACAACACACAGGTGGATCACACCATGAGAAGAATTCACAACTTACATTTTACTGTAAAAAATGAACAATTTCAGGTAGATGTCAAATGCAAAAAATAAAGAAATGGGCATTGAATTTCAATTATCAAACGTCCTTGGCATGTCAAGAACCTTCTTCCTGGTTTGGCTTGTGTCCACGAAGTCTTCTGCTGAGTTTTCATTTCACATCCGCACAGACGGGGATCAATTGCAATATTTCAGAGAAAATGAGTTAATAGTCCTAAATATCTAACATTTTCCTGCTTAATATAATCAATTTATTCATCTTAGCTCCTTAAAGGAGAGATAGCTCGTGAAGTTTTGATCATCT